GATGGACGGAGAAGTGGTGCCTCGATGCACACCCGGGATCCGAACCCGGGCCGCCAGCATTGCAGTGCGCGCACTTAACCACCAAGCCACAGGGCTGGCCCCTCTGGCAGTTTCTTACAAACGTGTTGCCTTTAGGTTTGGACAGCTTTAGACATCATGAATTTACACTGAGAAAAATCCATTCAATGAGGTGCAGATCAAAACAGTTTAATACTGGGTCAATTGCTTTGGGTACAATGCTACTAACCCAAGACAAAAACTCCACACAAGTATATTCAGAAAATTACACTTCACTTTCCTTGTAAAACTCAGGCCTGAAAATTAAGTAAGTTCACAGAAGGTTTTCTTATTCTTCAGCCCCTGAGCAGAGGTGGCATTGTTTAATGCATCAGCTGAATAGTGTGTGATACAAAATACTTTTAGACCTTTTCAAGGGCATTTTCATTTACAACTGCGTGGGGAAATTCATTTTTAGAAAATGTCTTTGAGTCCTGGCTCCACCCATCAGGATAATAAAATGTTTCATAAAGAGAACAGTAGCATAGGTCTGAAATATCGATTTTCCTTGCTATTTCTCTCAAGTGGTAGTCTACTGAATTATGTTAACTTTTCATACTATCTTAAAGATGACAGTAAATAAGTAGATGGAGTTTTGCTGAGTGAATTAGACTTTAAATTATTTTGTTGTTATTGTTTTGTTTTTGTTGTTGTTGTTTTGTGAGGAAGATCAACCCTGAGCTAACATCCATGCTAATCCTCCTCTTTTTGCGGAGGAAGACCGGCTCTGAGCTAACATCTATTGCCAATCCTCCTCCTTCCCCCCCCCCAAAGCCCCAGTAGATAGTTGTATGTCATAGTTGCACATCCTTCTAGTTGCTGTATGTGGGACGCGGCCTCAGCATGGCCGGAGAAGCGGTGTGTCGGTGCGCGCCCGGAATCCAAACCTGCGCTGCCAGTAGCGGAGCTCGCCACTTAACTGCTAAGCCAGGGGGCCGGCCCCTGTTGTTAATGTTGATGAGACAAATTTGGGGAGAGGCTGGAAACCTATTTTCCAAAAACATCTTTGAAGGTGTTGGGATGGCTGCTAAATATCTTGAGCAGCCCACCAACATTCTGGATCTGCTCTCAAGAGCCATACTCAGGGCCTCCCTTTCAGCATTCCTCAAAGCCTGTTCTTTCTAATAATGTGAATCCAAATGACGCTTACTATATAGCAATTCTCCTCCCGAAGAAACATGGTGCACATAAGTTGAAGAAAAGATCTGGAAAATCTGGCAATAAAGAGACCTATTAATTTTTCCACATATCCTTTACTCAGTATCACCAATTATTTACATTTTACCCCATTTGCATCCTCTCTTTCTCTCCCCACTCACACACACACCCCCCTAATTTTTTTTTTTTCTGAATCGTTTGGTAGTGAGAGAAAATATGCCCCTTTACCAATAAATACTTAAGTATAATTTCTAAAAGTAAGGACATTCTCTCATATAACCACAGTAAATTATTAAATTATTAAAATTAGCAAATTTCACTTTGATACAATACTATTATCTCATTCACAGTCCATTTTCAAATTTTGGCAAGTGCCAAAATATAGTCCATTATAGGTCATTATTTTGGTTTTCAATCCAGGAATCCAATCTAGAAACAAACTTTGCATTTAGCTGTCACATCTCTTTATACTGATCCGTCCCACCCCCAACTTTCACCTGGAACAGTTACTCAGCCTTTCTTTGTCTTTTTTTACTTTGATAGGTTGAAGCACACAGCCAGTTACTATGTAGTGTTGGGGTCTGTCTCATGATTTCTCATGATCAGATTCAGGAGGTGCATTTTGGACAGGTTACCACAGTAGTAACACCATGTCTTCACAGTGTACCATATCATGAAGCACATTAAGTGGGTTTATTCTCATACTGGGGTGTTTAACTCAATTGCATGGTTAAGGTGATATCTGCTAGGCGTCTCTACTATAAAGTTATTAATTTTCCTTTTGTGATTAAAAAGTGCTTTTTTTAGGAGGACATTTTGAGATTACATAAATATCCTGTTCCTCATCTAACTTTCATCCACTAGTTTAGTATACAATTCTGATATTCTAACTCCACCATTCCTTCTATATTCATTAATGGCATTCTGTAAGGAATGGTTTTCATAGTTTATTCATTCATTTATTTATGTCAATAAAGACTCATTTATTTTTGCTTTTATTTTATTCAATGGATTATAATCCATTACTACCAGTATTTATTTTAATGCTCAAACTGTCTCAGATTTGCCCAGTAGGAGACTCTTCAAACAGATTCCTCTGTCATTCTGCCATGTTCCCCTCATTTTTTATTTTTTAGCACCTCCTTATTAGCTGGCACAGATGCTCTAGGCTCATCTTGTATTTTCCTGGCTCTAGCCCCAAAATTGGTCATTTTTTGAGTGATCTCCTTGTACTTTTTAGTGAGGAATGGTCTTTAAAGACCTAAAGCTTTGGCTCAATCTTTTCCAAATATGTTTGAGATTAGAACACTTTGGTTCTTCAAGAAAACTATACAGCTTAAGGCTCTGTGAGTCTGTTCCAACCAAGACCCTCTTTGCAAGGGAAGCAAATCTGGATCAACTTTGTATAAGGGGATGTCCCTCCACCCATGCAGAATGCCGTGAGATATGTGAGTGTCCCCAACAAGAGAAACAAACTCCATGAGGCTCAACTAAAAAGCCGCTGGTAGACTGTGTACACCAGGGTGCAATCAAGGGACCAGTCCTACAAAATCCTTCAAACTCACAAGTGAGAATCACAGGTCTGGATGGATCATTCAATTCCACCTTGCGGAAGGGCTGGAATGGAAAAACCTCCAATACTTCTCTAAGCCAGATCAAGGTGGTTAGATACATAGAGCAAAATATGGCATAACCTGACATTTGGAAACTAGAATCTTACAGGGGGAAAAAGCCCCATCACTGAGGAAGCATGTGCTAAAATACAGATATGGAAAATGCCTGAGTGAATGGTAACACTACCAAGTAATGGGAGGGAGATGAAATGGGACTGTGAGTGTAGGTTTACAGCGGTCACTGCTTTATGGGTGTAAGGTACCAGCACGATGTGTACAGGATCACAACAAAATGCCCACTTAGCTTCCCTTTACTCCTGCCTTGCGC